GATAGGGAAGGAAGCGTGGTGTAAAAAAATAAGCTCTTGAACAATGGGTCCAATCAAAATGCCGAGTCGATAACGTTCGAATGCCGTCCAGAACGGATAGCGAAGTGCAACTCCTTGCACCATCGGACTCGTGGTCGGACTACGAGATGGTCACGCTTGAGCAGCGCTTGTGAAAATGTTCCGTGGCGGAGTGGGCCCACGCGGCGCGGCCGGCGCCGCTAACAACTGTTTTGCGGTCGAAGAACAACTCTTTTTTGCGCATCGAGACCGGCGCAGAGTCCCGTATGGCCCTTCTTTAACAAACCTTGTAAAATTCACTTTTCTCCACGGACAGTCAAGAGCGAGTGAAATTCGCCCTAATATCGTCTGGACATGCGAAGGCCATCCCCAGTTCTCCGCGAGATTCGGCGCGTGGGTATACTACTCCGCGCCTGCTAGCGCACACTGCGCCACCCCGACATGTATTACCACTTATATTCATACACTTCGTATTGGGATTCCGCGGATGCGTCATCGGGTCTATTTCGTCACGTACGATTGTACCTACAGAAACGCACACAGACAACCAAGTAGACCCACAGTGGCAATAAAATCAGCAGCCCAATAAGCCCAGAGACGATAAAACAAAAGAGAGGTAAACGCGTCGCTCGCCGACTCCACACGACCAAATGACCTCCGGATGATCGATATGTAACTTACTAAAGCTTGGACAACCATAGGGTTATTACGGATATCTTCCTCACGGAACCGAGACACAAAGTATTTACACACTAGTTTTGCAATTGGGTGACTCATTGAATTTGATTCACTGATAGATTTGTGAGTCAGGAATGGAGGTGACACGACCCTGGAATAGACTGAGCCTCTCCTGAGAGGGAGGTGGAAATAACATCTTTTGTAAGAATGATTATAGGCAATCTCGTGACTCGTGGTCTACGATTGATTGTCCAGGGCGAGCGAGTGCCCGGGATCGTGTGCCACCGCACGCAACGGCGAAGTGCGAAGACGGGAAAGTGGAAACTTACCCACTGCAGTCGCTAAGCGCCACGCGCTACGTTTCATCTCGTACAAGATGAAAACGCGGAGCTACCTCCGCAGGCGGTTAGTTAGTGACAAATAGCGTTAGACGGCCCGCAGGCGCGCGATCCGGTTAGTTTGAACGACAATACGACCCCTCGGTCTGCGCCGTCAAGTAGGAGGAGTATACGGGTGTTTATCTCCTCTTTGTATTAGTATCGACATGCTGTAGGGCCACCGAAAAATACTAGGTAGGGACAGTGGATGGCCCTATTTTGCGCCTCGGTCGGTACTTCCCTCCAACGTCTCGTGTCAACCAACTTTGACCATGTCCAAAAGCGTGATAAACCCCTGATTATATAGGTGACATGAAGCAACTTACCTGTCGATCGTCCGTATCTGTCATAATGGGCGTACCTTACCAACACATTTTATCGTGGTCTCTTGTAATTTACAGTATTTACAAGTAGAGATATTGTCCACTGTACATTTTGGAAAAATACGTTACTGTCCTCTCCTAAGTACACTACATCAACAAACAGCGCAA